TGTGTATCCTCCCATCCATCTCCTTCCCAGAGTGATTTTGATCAACCACACCACTTTGTGTCAAGTCCTTCTGATTGCTCCTTACCGGCTGGCACAACCATGGTTTCTATGGCTGCTCCAGCTCCAGTCTGCCCCCCACTATTACCTCTTCCTCTTACTCCATCCCTTCTACGTCAACCTTTGTCAACAGCATTTCATCCATCCCTTCCTACCCTTTGTTTTCAATCCTGGATTTTATCGGGTCCTTGGTAAGGAGATCTGGATTGTCCTGGCAAGTTGCTTTGTTTTTAGCACGTTCCATTTGCCTTTCTCTATAGATCTTTATTGATGTAAGTGGGACATTTGCTGCCATTGGTCTTTGGGTCAGGGGTTTTTACCTGCTCAACCCATTGTTCCTCTTCTTATAGATTTCTTCACTTGGCTGTTTGACCAAGGAACTTTGATCATGGGTTATAGGGCTGCCTTATCCCACATTTTTTGGTTTCCAGTTGCGTCCCTTCCAGGTTAGTTGACCTTCTTGGTGTGCAGTCATTCTGGATTGGGATTTCAGTGGGTTTCTTCACTGTTTTACTTTTCACCTCCATTTGAACCTCTGTCCTCGTGTTTGATTTTTCATTTATCCATTATTTGTCATCGATGTTTCATGTACCCTGTATCATTCCATATATATTCTCCTTTATCTGTATTGATCTTACCTTCCCTAGACTTCAGTGAGGGTAATTCCTCCTCGCCGATCTGCCTTCCTTCTATTTCTCACCTATATTCCCAGTCTGATCCGAATAGGCTATTATGTCCCATACGTGCTCTTTGTTGTTATATTGCCCACATGGCTTCCTTCCATGGTGCCCATTCTTCCCTCTTCATTCAGTGGCAACTATCCTCTGTTCATGACCTTTCTCCTTCCACTTTTACCAGTTGAGTTCAGCTTTTAGTTCAGTTGGCTTATACTTGCTTGTCTCCTTCTTCCTGTAATTTATTCCAGGTGTCTTCTCACCAGATTATGCAGCTTACCTTTTCCATGATGTCTTACCTTTATCCTCCATTGTAGGAAATTCTTCAATTGGGCATGTGGACCACACTGCATACATTCATCTCTCCCTATCTGCATCAGCTAGCTGTTTCTTTCTTGTCTGATTATCACCTTCCACCTGTCGGCATTCTTCAGACTTCAGTGAGACTGTAACTGGTTAAGTTATCTATTGTCTGTATTACCTTCTATTTTTCAGCAGCATGCCCCTTTTTTCTACAGATCCCACTCTGTGGTGAACCAGTGCCTGTCCAGGTATATTTAAATTACTCAAATCTGCACTGTCAGGCCATGATGACTTAATAATTATAACTACAATGGCCACTAAATACACACTGTTGAGATGGGGTGTTCCACAAGATTGCTTGTATGTTTTCCTTGCAATGTATTTGCTTCATTAATATGCCTGTTCCAGACCATACTAATCCATGGACTTCATGGGTAAAGCAGAAGAGGATAGCTGCCCATCCCTGCCATTCCTTATGTTGAATAAATCAGGAGTGGTCTGCTTTTCAAAATAGGGTTTTTGTAGTCACCTGTTGCACTGTTTCTAGTGTTGATGTTTCTACGAACTCTCCACTGCATTTTCTCTCCCCTTTTTTCTTCCAGTGGAGTTTGGGAGTTGCCACTTTCCAGTTGTAAGCCACTGGAGTGGTGAACCATGGAGGCATCTTCCTGAATGTGATTGATATATAAGATGAAAATACTAATGAATCCATTCAGTTGAGAGTAGGGTTGTGGTGTTCTGATGGTTTAGATGATGAGATGTCCTCCAATCTGATGCTCTATCTCTGAATGGGTTTATCTAAGGGGGGTGTTGTAACTTTGGAGTGAGCCATCAAAATTGCAGTTCACCCCTTCAATTGTGACCTCTCATCCTACCTCCACATGGATGTCAGTTCCCAGTGACTGGGTTTTGGATTCAGAGCTGAACCAATCAACATAATTCCTCACACATGTATTACAGGTGTCTCTGTTCCCTCACTCAATTGAATGCATGTTCACTGCTGCCGTGTTGTGGATGTCGGGTTCCCAGATCAGTACAACATTTTCTCAATTTGGTATCATGTGCTCTGTTCATAGATCAGTGGGTATATCTCCCTCCGGGCTGCTGAACTTGAGGTGAAGATAGTATAATCATTTTTCCTACCCCCTGGTGGCTGGGTTTTGGATTTTAGTTGACTTGTGATGGTATGATCCTCTTTCCTAACCTCACATGGATGTCGGTTCCTGGTGACTGGGTTTTGGACTGTAGTTGACTTACTGACAATATGATTCTCATCCTACCCCCCATGGATGTCAGTTTCTGGTGGCTGGGTTATGGATGCAGTTGATTTGCCGTGTATGGACCATTGCACCCTAGCCACTCTGCACCTTTGAGCATATCCTTTTTACTTTCACCCACATTACTGACATCAATGAGATTGAGATTCCTGTATTTGGTAAATCGGATCCCTATCCAACCATTCTTCTCTCTTTTGGATGTGCTTCTCCCATTTTCCGCCCACATTGACAACACCTCTTTCCTCACTTGGCATAGAGTATACCTGGTACAGAAGTGGTGTGGTCTCCCATGTATAGTCCTCCCCCCTTTAGGGTGTCTTTTGAGAGCTTTCAAAGAATGCTTCTTTCTTTCCCTTGCACCAGTCCCTCCACCTATTCAATGTGGGATTCTAGCTATTTATGTGAGAAGAGGTAATGTATCATATTGGAAGTTATAATTTTCCTATACTGAAAATGTATTTCCAATAGGTACTTACCTCCTTTCACACTTCCCACCCTTCTTCCCCACTGAAAACCGGTGCTTCTGTTTTCTACCAAAACTTGAAGTGATAGTTCAATAGAATTGAATAGAGGGAGTCACATGCATCAAGAAGGTTTGTTGCACCCCTATTGTCACATGATGATTTACATGTAATATGCAGTTGAACCACATTGATCATAGGATACTTGGGAGCTCAAGGCTTGTGGCATGAGGAAAAAAGTTTGTATATAGAGGGGCAGCACTGAATAAGAATAGCTATTTATGTGAACTGACATAAGTACCTATCAGAAATACATTTTCAATATAGGAAAATTATAACATCAACAAAATTTTAAATGTAAATATACAAACATGATGACATGCCCTTTGACCCCTGACCATAATTAAACCTGTAGCAAGATTGTTAATATAAATTCAGGATATAAAATATGAATTAGGTTTTCCAGAAATATTTTTCTTGGAATATATATTGTAAAATATGTTTGAGAAACTTTTTAGACTGTTTTAATGTTATAAGAAAGCTGCAAGTTACTGAATGGAGGAGATATTTAAATAAAGCTTTGATTTTAGCAATTTTTTACTTATTTCTTGTTACAACAGTAAGTTTTTTGCACAAATATTCTTGCATTTGATAATTCTGACAGATGTATTTTGTTTTAAAGTTTCTTTGATGTGGTGTCTTGGAGTCACCTGACCTGGTATAGGAAGAGTGATTAGAAATTAAACGTTTAGATAAAGGTAACATGTATAGGATGGAAATATTACAATTCACATAATTCTATTTGGTATTCAAAACCATGTGTAAGATTTGAATGTAGAAAGGTATCTGTCAATAATACCTGTCCATGATTGTTGTTCTTATATGTGATTTTACTTATATTAGTCTATGGTAGATATTTTGTGCTTAGTCATTTATTGAAGTAATACATGTAAAATGACCAAAAATATGACCATGTGAAGTATCTAGGTATTTAACAAAACTTGGGAGAAACCAAATTAGCAATTTACATTTATTGTTTCTTTTCAGTTTTGCACTGTTGCTTCCAATCTTTTGTGTTAAAGTTTTTCACTTGTTTGTATGAGTCTTGGACATTTTGATACGGACAGCTTATGACATGGACTTTTTGTTACAAAAAACATTTTGTTATGGTTGCCATCGTATCATTAGGAAAGGTTTCACTGCTAGTGTTTTTTGTGATTGGTGAATTTTGTTACATGAATACATCCAACACCCTTACCCCTATAGGCTTAAACACCCTCTCATCCCCATAGCATTATGTAATTTTTTAATGGTCCCCAAATGGTTGTACAATTTACGATCTATTGTCATTTTTTTGTTATTGTCACCAATCAATTTTATATTTAGAAAACTACCAGTCACAAAATTAGTATTCGTAACAAAAACTGCCACGTAACAACAATGCATCCATCACAGGATGTCCTAGTAACAATATGGCAGTAACGAAATGTCCAGTAACTAAATGTTTGTAACAAAATGTCCGGATCGCATTTGTATTGCCTATATTTAAATAGTATCAGTTCATGAACATGATAAATGATGGGGTGGAAGGTTGCTTTATTTGTCTGTGAGATCTGTAGAAAGTGTACCTCACTGAACAAATAAGATTGTGGAAATGTAATGTTTAATGCACCTAGGAACTAGAAAAAAATTCAGCTTTTCAGTCATCTTCTCAGTGCAGTTAAAAAGTGTATTTTGTGCTTTCATTGAGTACAGGTCTGGTCTAATGCACTTTACTTTAAATATGTGAAACATACAACCACTTTTTACTATTTTTAAGTTTTATATATTCTAGTCTTAGTTCTTATTCATTCCCCTAGCTGAGTCCTTGTGATTAATGTTCTCTTCTATCAAAATAATATTCTACATTTTGTTTTCTCTGCTGATTTTCTTCTCAGGATGGGGAATATATTTGAAATAAAGAATTTATAAGTTTAGAGAGATTTTTATCAAAAACAAGATTTTCTTCCTTGTGAAATTATTTAACAAATATACATTAATTTTGTCTCTGATGTCATTGTAATAACAACTCAGTTCAAAGTGTAGTTGTGATTTTAAATGTTTTTTTTACTATTAACAAGAGAATTGTGTAAGCTTAATTAGACAAACTTGTAAATCACAGAAATGCTTTTTTAAGTATAATAAACTTTAAATAACAGTAACATAACCTAACAAATTTTAAAACTTAGGGCAAGTCAAACCTGATTGTTCTCACTGTAAAGACATTGCAAGTCGCAAGTGTCGTTTCTGTAATTGCCATATTTGTGGAGGTAAAGATGAACCAGGGAAGCAGATAATGTGCGATGAGTGTGACATGTCTTATCACATATGGTGCCTTACTCCTCCTCTTCCAGATATCCCCGATATTGAAGAATGGTAATGAAATATGTAATATATTAGTTTACCTTAGAATTTGCATTTGATTTCATGTTTAATATTTTCTTATCGTTTTATTCTACTGAATTTGGTATTTTATTTTAAAATAGTTAATAGATATACACATTTTGAAACAAGTTGAAAGTCTATATTGTGGCATCATTGTTAAAGGCAGTAATATTTCAGATATATTTTTAAGAAAATGTAAATACTTTGTGGTATAGAGCATTGGTGCAAATAGGTTTCTACTTCTGCCTATAATGATATAAGGTTTTTTGTAGAGGGAGTATCATAGAAAAATAAATTACACTATTTGAAGTTAATGCATAATGTTTATAAGCTAATTATCTAAACAGTTGGTTCTCAGTCTGGTTGTCCATGGGCTCTCTCAGGTTGTCTGTTGAAAGGTTGCATAGTGTACAGATTCCATTGTGGTTTGTGAACAATAAAGTTTGAGAAACACTAATTTAGACAGAAGATATTTAACAAGTGCTTTATATGTTTTGTTTGCTATACATAAATATGTATTGTCATATTAAAATGAGACTTAACAACACACATTTCTGACAGGAAAAATACTGATATTTTCATAGGTATTGTCCAGAATGTAAAAATGATGAAACGGAGGTTGTGCGAGCAGGAGAAAAACTGAAAAAAAGTAAAAAGAAAGCTAAAATGGCCTCTGCTAGTTCAGCCTCTAACCGTGACTGGGGTAAAGGTATGGCTTGTGTTGGCAGAACCAAAGAATGTACTCTTGTGCCCCCCAATCACTTTGGTTCAATTCCTGGAATAGAAGTTGGGATGATGTGGAAGTTTCGAGTACAGGTGTGTTACACATTCGTGTCAATGTATTGCAGCTTTTGAAGTATTTTTTTATTCATTGAAGTCAATGCACTTCAGATGTGTTACATATTCTTGTCATTGGCTCTTCAGGTTTCATTTTATTGTCACTTGTAGTATACCAGGTGTGTTACATATAGCCATCTTAGAATTTTAGCACATGTTGTTACCTGTATTATTAAACTTACTGTGAGTTAAAATATTTACAAAAACACATAGTTCTACATTTTTTCTCTATTCGTGAAGTGGAATTATGAATTTTATTGAAAGCAAAATGATGTTTTTAGGTATAAAGCTGAACTAACCATCTCACTTGATTAGACTAATTTGTGATCAAGTTTTTGTGGTTGTAAAATCCTAACAATTTCTAGATTTTTAGAAGGAATGTTAAATTAAAAAATAAATAAAATTGGCTAATAATATTTGACTTTTTTTTTTTAATGAGTACCAGTACATTACTTTCAACTTTCAAAATTAACTAACAAAAATGTGCACACCAGTTTGCAGAATGTCTGTATGTTTGGAATTTATTTTAATTGTACTTGAGGTATAGTAGCATTTCCGCATTTTCAGGTAAAAGCCTTGACCTTTCGTGTTTGATAATATTGCCAGAGGAGCTAAAAGCCTGTTCACTGTCTACACTGGTCAGAGGTGTGGAGAGATAATGCCTTGCTATTCTGGCCATTGTGGGAAATTGAGCTTCACTTGACTTCCAAAAGTGAGGCCAGTGAAAGTAAATTCAGAAACAGTGATGTTGACACGTTTAAGAATCATTATTCCGATTAACACCTAGCCCCAACTTCTCAAACCCTAACCACTATTGTTCTCAAAACCCTCACCTTACAGTTAGACTAAGAATATGAGTCTCAGACCAACAGTATATACACTCAAAAATAATATTTATTAACATCAATTACATGTTATAAAAACCATTACACAGTTAACATACAACTTATCAAAATATTACTGATAAAACTTTACTATTTAGACTTAATACTTCTTACACTAGCTGATCAAGAGAGAGAGACTATACTTACAGTAGAGTTGGAGTTTTGGAGGCTGTAGCCACATTAGAAAACTTCAGCTTCATTTTCTTCTTGGAGAGAACTGCTGGGGAACTGGTGGAGAACTTTTGCTGTCCCGGAGAACTGATTTTTCAGTCTCTGACATGGGTTTTTAAACTCATTTCCTAGT